GATGAAATTAGACTCTGTGTACATCCAGTGTGTTTGCTCAGTGAACTGTATCAGTTTCTGCAGCAGATTCCAGCTGCAGAACAAATAACAGTTACTGTAAAGTCAGACTGACGGAGGTTTTTGTACGATGATTTTTCACTGTGTGAACAGATACTGACTGTTGATGTAATGAGCACTCTGACAGTAATAAACTCCTGCATCTTCAGCCTGAACTCCACTGATGGTCAGAGTGAAGTCAGAGTTTGATCCTCTGCCTGTAAAGCGACTTGGAGTCCCTGATGCTTTAGTGCTGGCAAGATAAATGAGGAGCTTAGGAGTTTGTCCATCTTTCTGTTGGTACCAGGCTAAATAGATGCTATAAATATTCTGACTGGTTCTACAGCTGATGGTGACAGATCCTCCCAGATCAGCTCTCACTGCTGCAGGCTGCTGAGTCACAGTGACCTGACCTCTGACCTCTGAGGACACAGAGACAAAAACATTTTCATGGTTTAGTCGGCTTCATTTCAGAGGGACAGATGTTCATAGAGGAGAGGAGTTGGATTCTCTGGACTTTACCTGTGAAGCAGCAGCAGAGGAGAGTCCAGATGAGGACGCAGATCAGAGTCATGTTTCTGATGATGAGGAGGATTTCTGTGTCTTCTGCTGTGATGAAGGACAGCTGTCAGTCATCCAGTGTTCAACTGTCAGGACTATAAACTCTCCCAGAGCGCTGGAGCATGGAGCTGCTGATGCAAATCACTTTATTTAACATTTGAATGGAATCCGTCAGATTGGGTTTTATAATTAGTTTATTATAAAATGTCTGTTTCACAAATATTTCTCTGCTATCAGATTTGTGTTAGTTCTGGTCTCAAACTTTCAAATCCAGACATGTTTTTTTTATTGCTGGTTTAATTGAGTCAGTCATTTTAATATTTAATATGTGCTTATGGATTTAGTTTCTGTTTTGTCATTTCAAACATGGTCTACATTGTCAATGAGATCCTAGATCTCAAAAGGGACGATTGGTATAAAGAATATGTTTTGTATGAAATCCATTTAAAGAGGAGAAAACATTACATGTATTATTGGTTCCAGTCAGTTTCGTCCGCGTCTCCTAAGTTCCCCGTTTACCAGTTGTGAGCTTAGCTTCCTCTCGACTTTGCTGCCTGTGTCAGAACCTTTTAGTGGATTGTTGTTTCTCATTATAATCATCACTTCCATCATTCCAACCTGGTCTCAGCGTCTCCCTCTCCACTGCTACCTCAACTCATGGCAGCAGCTCCTGGTTATCAGTATCTGGGATAATTTCAGCAAATAGACATTTAGGGGGAACGTTTTGAATCAGAAATTAAAAATTATTGGTGAATTAATAACAATAAAAAACTACAAGTTACTCCAGAAACAGGAATCAAAGTTTGCATAATTTAAAGAAAATGTTCAAAATGAACAGAACAGGCCATGAACTGTGTTAAATGTTTTGCCAACATTTATCCAGTTTCTAGTCCGTCTCTGTTTCTTTGATCAGTGTGATAAATTTACACATGATTTAGACATTAATAGATGATTTCTTACTGAGTGATTTTAACCTTAAATTGTTCTACCATATTTTACCTACTGCTAAGATGTAAAGTAATGCTTTGCTGTCTGTACTTTCTTAAAAACATTTGATG